GCAGACAGAGGCAACCAAAATTAAGATAGGGGCTACTGGTCTGCCACTGAAAATAGTCTTGACTGTGATATTTATATATTAATGGGTGGCACTATTTACATATGAATAAGCCGTGACTCATTTTTCCCAAAACATTTCCGTGCGTCGCTAGAGTGTTCGGGTTTTGCTAGAAGAAATGGTCTCCCCCTCCCTTTGAAAAGCGATCTACTGGTGGGGCAGAGGCTGCCCTGCGTTTTGGAGGTGAGAGTTTTTTCTTAATCCCAATGGGATTTTCTATTGAAGTCCCATTCATTTCAATTGTTGCATTTGACAAGCAGCACTGCCTACATGATGCCTACAATGTGCTGCTGCTCCTTCATTGTCCAGTTGAAGACTGGGCCTGGTTCCTAGAGCGCAGTCTGCAGGGAGGCCAAAGATCAAGTTGTGCTGTCTGGCAGGGCTATATGGATCATAAACCTGGCTGAATAGAATGACATATTGTTGATGAGTAAAATTGTTCAAATGTGTATTCAGCTATTTGCTTTAAAGTTGATTTCAACTATGGTAAAACAATACAGATGTATACAGGTGCCATACAGGCATTACCTTCACCATATGTGCACATTTCTTGAGAACTGAGGTATTCCGAGAAAGCTTTCCAAACTATTGAGTTGCTAGAACAGTTTTTGTGAGGTTTATAACATGTCTGTACCATAGGACATCTTTTCTGAATTTAATGTGCTATTTCACAGTAGACAGATTGCTCACTTTTATTGCAAATCATTTTTTTCTTACTTTGCCAAAAAGGAAGGTTTCTTCCTACCAAAGAACAACTCCATTTAGAAAACGAACCCTTGCAGTAGAGCTATGCAGGGTCATCCCTATAATGAGGTAGCCTAAGGCTGTTGCCTCAGGTGGCATCTCTTTGGGTCACGAGGGGGGAGCAGAAGGCTCTTTCCCCTTTCGGGCCAGAGCATCCCAGGTTGCTAAGAGCGGGCAGAGAGATATGTAAGGGCCATACACATCTCCCCTCCCAGCTCCCAGCAACTTGGAGCGCTTTTGCCAGCTTCTGGCTCAGCACCTGACAACCAGTGAGGTCACTGGTTGCCAGGAGCTGAGCAGGACGCTCTGGCCGTTGTCCTACCTAGCTCCTGGCAACCAGTGACATCAATGAGCCTGGCAACCAGTGACATCAATGAGCCAGAGCTGAGCGGTGCGCCACCACGACGTTGCCCCCCTCCTCTGGTAGGGACACTCTGCACTACAAGGGTTAACTGCTCATTTTGGTCTAGGGTCTAAAATAAAAAATATATTACTCACATGATCCTCGGTCATGCTTTGTTGCTATACCTGTCCCCACAGGCTATTTTTTTCTGGTCTCCAGCGATCTAAGCCCCACTTATGTTATCATGTCTATGCAAGGTTCATTCACTTGTTTTAAACATGAGGATGCCAAGGGACATACCACAGCCATAGCAGTGGGGGGGAAAAGGTGATCGGTCAAGCAGCAGGGCCGAGGATTAGGTGAGTGCATCTTCTTTATTCTACATCCTAGACCAAAACAATCACCTAACCCTTGCAATGCAGAGGTAGCCCCACTGTAAGGATTCATTGTTTTAAATGTTCTTTAAATTTGGCTAAATTAATATGATAACAATACATATTCACACACTTTGTAAATCAATTGTGAACATATTGAAGTATTATTATTTTGTAAGCACACTTACTGCAAGCATTGTTGTACTGGGATGAAGGCACTCTATGTTGGATTCAAAACCATAGTTTCCACTATGTCATTCTCTGTAGGGCTGCCATCTAGTGGTGGAAATTAGACTTTGCGTGCAAACAACAATACATTCTACTTGCACAGCAGTTTACCCTTTATTTATGAAACATCTACACTGAAACAGACTGGCATTTACAGAATATATGCTGTCAAAATATTTTAGTAAAAGCAAGATACATTTCTTGAAAACCAAAATGAACAATTAAATGTTTAACCCCAACATGTGCATTTGTGTGGTATTCTATAAACATAAGTGATGAGCCGGTCATTTTTGGGGCATCTGGATGTCTTCATCTTCTTCATACCTACTGTTTTGTTGCAGTGCAGTTTTAATAATTTATTTCCATGCAGAAGTTCAGTCTCAATATTCTAGCTCAACACACATTTAATTATGTGAATAAATGAATTGCATGTATATAAGATGGTATATTTGCCTTTCCACCTGAAGAAGAAAATAGCAGAGGCAGCTCTATCACGCAGCGATAGCCCATAAGGTCCCTTTAGACTCTTGCAGTCAGTTGCAGATTGTTGTGCACTTCACATCAGTAGCCCCCCTTCAAATTAAAGTTTGCCTCTTACATCAGAATCCCCCCTTCACATCAGAGCACCCCCTTACCATCACAGTCCCTCCTTTCACATCAGAGTCCTTCATATTATAGTCCCCCCTAGACATCAGAGTCCCCCCTTCACATCAGGAGCTCCTCTTCCTATCAGAGTTCCCCTTTCGCATCAGTGGCGCCCTCTTCACATCAGGAACCCCTCTTTTCCCATCAAGAGATTCCTGTCCTTACATCATGAGAACCCCATTCACAAAAGGAGCCAATCTTCACATCAGAATACCCTTCCTCACATCAATGTCCCACTATCACATCAGGAGCCCCTCTTCACATCAGAAGCCCACTTCATATCAGGAGCCATTCTTCTCATCAAAATTCCACCTTTTTATATCAGAAATGCCTTTTCACATCAGGAACACCCCTTGACATCAAAGTCCCCCCTTCACTTCAAAGCCCCCCCCTCTTCACATCAGTGTCCCCTTCACATGAGATACCTTCCTTTACCTCAGGAGTACCCCATCACATCAGAGTACCCCTTTACATCAGAGCCCCCCTTTACATAAGAGTCCACCCTTCACCTCAGAGTTCCCCTTTTACCTCAGAGTCCCCCTTCCCATCAGTAGAGGAGAAATAATGGCTAGAAGATTGTAGACTATTTTGAAGTATCTGCTAAATTTCATTATTGGTTTTATAAGCTGATTCCTGAACTCTATCTTTTAGTCTTATAGTTTTAAATAATCACAATGAAAGCTGATTGCTGTGACTTTGAAAAATGAGGTCCTGGAAACATTTTCAGGTGCTGGAATGATTCAGAGCTCTATTTAGGTGACACTAGGAGAACCATTGTTGATAAGAAAATGGTGCTTGGGAGACTAAACTAGACACCATAGAGTAAGAGTCTAAGGGCCATTCACACGTGTGTTTGCACCTATGCACCTGCTCTATGTGTTGTGTGTTCTAGGCTACTAAATTTAAACATGTTCACATTGGAGGTGAGGAGATTAAGGGGGGATATGATTTCCATGTACAAAATGTTCAATGGTGGTAGCAACATTAGCGATAAACTGTTTAAAATTAACTCCGTTACAAAAACTAGAGGCCATCACCTAAAATTGGTGGAAAAAAAATTCCAGCACAAGGGGCGAAGGGGGTTCTTCACAGTAAGATCAGTTAGGGTCTGGAACTCACTGCCACAGGCGGTGATTTCAGCAAATAATGTGGAATTGTTCAAGAAACTTTTGGACGATTTCTTAAGGGACCGTAATATACAGGGGTACAGGTAATACCTAGAATGAGATCCTAATAGGTTGGACTTGATGGACTAATGTCTTTATTCAACCTCAAATACTATGTAACTATGTGTTGCAGTGCTATTCATTGTGAATGGAACTCCAACCCACTGTACAATATAGTACAAGGCATGGTCAACCTCAGCACACCACAATGCACAGCATGTGCATTGTAATGTGCTGTAGTGCTAACAAAGGGTCAGGTACATTTTTTGACCATTGTTGTGTTGATGGCAGCCAATTCATAATGAATAGGCTCTCTTACCGCAATGCCCTTCTACAACGTATATAAAAGCACAACAACAAATTGCTAAAGTGAATATGGGTCCTGATTAGAGAAATGTGAGTTTTGTCCACATATGAGAGAGACTTCGCTCAGGCTGGATAAATTATTTCTGCTTAGGCAGCAAATATGCTGAAAGTCTTATTCAACCTAGTCTGAGTGTGAAAGGACTGAGATATTGAGCCAGCAGCTGAGAGGGATGGTCCTACAAGGAGGCTGGGACTTGAGAAGCCAGAACTTTAAAGTTGGCCATAAACTGTGCATAGATAGCATTGTAGTCAGCTAAAACAGAAAATCTGTAGCTAACTACAAATCGCCAGAGAGATTAGCAGCCCGTGTGACATCAGCTTAAGGAATAACCAAGAACATTTTTTGTGATGTGAATAACCCCTTCAACAGTGGAACCCTGTGTTTTTAATCTTCATTGTAAATGGAAGTCCTGAATAGCACCTTGGCAAGGGGACTGACTCCTAAAAAATCTCTCCATTAGGAGCTGACCCATCACAAAGGCCATAGACATTTGACCACCCTTTGTTATGAGTCTTACACTATGCAGAAAGGCAGGAAGAGCTGGCTTATCCAGGTTGACAAAAGTAATGTGAACAGGTTTTTTGACCTTTCCAATCTCTTGTTGCCCCCCTCCCAAGCAAGAGCAGTCAGCTGGCAGGTGTCTGCCAAACCATTAACTTTGAAACAGTTGGACTGGGAAATGTTCAATCTGATGTCTATAAGTGCCCTTAATAATAAAAGTGACAACCTCACTAAAAGAGACAAAAGTGAATGTATGTGATCATATGCAATGTTGCAATATAAGTTTATTTGAAAAAAAAAATTGTATGTCCTCGCTACAAAATCACTACTAAGTGCTAAAAAAAATCACAACTATGAACTGGTCAGATGTCATGGCTTACCCTATTTGACTGGTTATAAGAGGTAAGATTTGTAAGCTGCAGTTATATATTTCTTAAACACTACTGTCACAATACTTCTAATTTGGCCTTTAAGTTTATGTTCACGCTAATGCACAAACCAAATGCATGATAAAATTGTTCCTAGATATTATTAATTCATCCAAAATAAACAAATACTTTCCTTCTCATTTACAGGACAATACTATAGATTTTCTAGAATATGTGGCAGCTCTAAATCTAGTTTTACGAGGAAAACTTGAACATAAATTGAAGTGGACTTTCAAGGTTTATGACAGAGATGGAAATGGCTGCATAGACAAAACTGAGCTCCTAGAGATAGTGGAGGTAAGCTGTATACGTATATCTGCATTTGCGTATCTATACTGTATTTATATTGTGTGCTTATCTGTCATTTAAAGCTATAATATGCTGTAGCAATATAATTAATAATTATACACGTATTTAGTATATCCGATAATAGAAAAATTAAGATTTCAATACAAGATGAAACATTGAAAGAGGGACTTTCGTCACGTTATTACTGACTCTACCCTCCCAGTTCTCAACAAATCTGTAGCTTCTTTTTTGCAATATGTAGTGCCCATTACACCTCCTGATGATGTGGACGCTGGTCCGGCACAGTTCATTTGTAATGACATTGACGAAGGGGCAGCCACATGACTGGTCAGTGACCAGTATGTACAGTGGCTTCAACAGACTGGTTATCACAAGTGTAGCTGGTGGGGCAGAGGATTAGATTGTGGAACTGCGGATTAAGATAAATATTATTTGTTAGTAGAACACTTATTTTAAAAAAAATTAGCTAAAGTTTCATGGGACCAGGGGCGGGGAAGGGGAGGTGGGGATTTTTTTTAGAGGTAAAATAATAGAACACAAGGCCATCTTAAAAAGAGGGGGAAAAGTGGATTTGTTCTGGAAAGTTATTGGTAAGAAAGCATGGAAAATGAATGTTCTAAATAAGCCTTTAACTGGCATGAGGCCTCTGATTTCACAGGAAAATAAGTGACCCATTATTTTAAAAAGACTGTCTACCCAATGTTGATAAATCTAATATAATCTTTTTTTAACTTAAATTAAACTTAAATTAAAAACAATCTTACATCTACAAGTGTAAATTATAAATGACTCTTTCTGCATGTTAACTAAAAAATCTATTCTTGCTAAAATCGAAAAAATGAAAAAAAAAAAAAAAACTTGACATGGTTTGTTTAGTACAATTTAAAATTATGATGGGCCTGATGTATTAGTGTGTGTGTGTATTAAGGTAAAATGTCTTTAGGAACCTTGGTTTCCAGCCTAAACGTGATAGTTGGAAAGCTTTTCTTAGATGGCCAAATGCATCAAGATACTTCTGGGTTTCTTCTGATCTCCTTATGCCCTCCTTCTAAATTGCAACTTTTGTATTACTATTGACTGAATTGGGGAGAAAAGTAGTTGTGAAGCAAAGAAATGCCTATGCACATAAGCCTTAAGGCTGCGTTCACACCTGACCGTTTTGTAGGGCGTTCTACGCTCGACGAACGCTCTAAAAAACGGTCAAAAATATAAATTGCATTGTAGTCAATGCCCTCGTTCCCACCTCGCCGTATTTCCGCCCGTCCCTAACGCCCTACAAAGCGGCCCACGCCTGAAAAGGTCCCTGGACTACTTTGGGCCGTTTTGTAGGTCGTTTTCCATTGGGATACAGCCAAGTAGCCTTTGGAATCGAGCGACGGTCGCGCGACAGACGCGCATATTACAATACGCCTAGGTGTGAATGGGGTGTAAAGGAGAACTATGGGGTTAGGGCTTTTCCCCATAGTTCTCCTAAGGGTAAGGGGAGGACACTAGCGTCCTCCCGTCACCCTAAACTGAGGCTCCGCAGCTGAAACGGATCCCAACAATTATGTCTGGATCCGCCCAGCTGCGTGAGTCACAGCTGGCTCTGCCTATCTAGAGGCAGAGCCAGCTGTACCCGCCCCCTCCCCCATCCATTCCGCCAGTCAGCGCTGGGGGATCGGAGAGGGGAGGGGGGAATCCAGTCCCTTCCCTGTCGCGGCTCTCTGCCGTGACAGGATAGAGAAGTGAGCGAACGCCGGTATGTGTTTGCTCACTTCCCGATCTGCTGAGCCGACCTGTGACAGTTTAATTGTCACAGGTCGGCTAAAACTATGAGGATGAGTGAAAAGCCCTCACCTCATAGTTCTCTTTTAAGTTGGGAATAAATGTAAAAAAACTTTTTTTTTTAACTCAGGCACTGTATTTGAGTCAAATCATCATAAATGTGCTCTGTAATTTAAAAGTCCTTTAAAGTAAGTCACTAGCAAGTTTAAATGTGATTAACCGGCTTCTCCGCTGCCCTAGTATACATAATTCTTGAAGTTTGCACTGAACTCTGCCCTTATTTTCTTCCTCATTGAGCCTGCCAATCATAGATATGAGCAAATAGTGAGATGCAGCTGGTGGACCAAGTGCCAACTTGAGAAATGCATTTGGCATTGAACCTGTAATTGCAGATTTTAAATACACCACAGGTTTACGCCAAAAGTGGACCTATGAATTATTTTGTAATATATAAGCCAAAATAAGCAAAATGTGCTGTTTTTGTCACACCCACTACCTTGTGTTGCCTAAGCCTTGCATGGTTCTCCTTGTCCCATTACACATGTATTTACATTTTTTCCAGAATTATATTCCCAGTTTTCTCTTGCATGTACCTTTTCTAGCTTTACTGTTTGATTGTCCTTTGAAGGTGTTGATTTACTAAAGGAGAAAAAGGTAAAATTAATATTCACTTAGAAAATAAGGTAAAGCTGTGTTCACTTCAATCAACCAATCATGTCCTAGCAAAAATCCAGTTTTTTTTCTCCTCCAAATATTTTGAGTATTTTAAGAGAGCAAAACTAAAACTTTTAGACATCAAGGAGTAGCATCCATTGTAAGTGATTTCATCAGCATCCAAAAAAGCTTAAAAACCTTTTGACTTTAATATCACTTGCTGTGTCTGTACAACAACTTGAATAAAATGTTTGCGTCAAGGTAAAAAATGTTAAATGGCTTAGTGTATCCGTGAATACAAATCCTAAAACTCAAAATTGTATGCAAGATATATTAAATTAATGAGCTCAGTTAACAAAATAAATTTGCAAAATACGCTACATTTCTGATCAAGCTTATTTTTGTTTTCAGTCCATCTACAAACTTAAAAAAGTCTGTCGCCAAGGTCAAGATGATCGAATTCCCCTACTGTCCCCGGAACAAGTGGTAGACCGGATATTCCAATTGGTGGATGAAAATGGAGATGGTATACCATTGTTACTTTGTAACTTATATGGCGGTCTGCATAGAATAAATAGAATATTATGAGTTTATTAGACTTTTCACATTAATTAACCGCAACCTTGTGATTTTAGATAGGCAAGGTGATGTAGTTTTCAAGATAGAAAGACCGTATAGCTCAGGAGTTAACAAATCAATTCAAATTTCCAGAGCAATTAAGTTTACTTTGGGAGCCAGCAGATAGTGTTAAAGTGGACTTTTTTGTATTGCTGTTTGTGTCCCCACTGGGGCTATTTCCCTTCACTTCTTGTACCAGAGATACCAAGGGATGAGAGGGGAAATCTCTCCAAAGTGAAGGAAAATGCAGTTGTCACTGAAACCGTTGTCCCCACTGGGAGATTTTCTACATTTCCTGTTCCATTGACAGCTGTAACATTTTATACTTTCTACTATTAGTGAAAATGAATGACTCCAACTTGGACAAAGACAGCAATAAAACCAGATGGAAATTTAGGATAATGGCCTACCTTAAGGGGCTGAGGAGTAACATTTCTCTGCACAACCAATCAGTTTCCATCATCTGCTATTTGTTGATTACACAAAAGCCCTTTTTTTTTTACACAATTATTTATAAATCTGCCCCTGTATCTGTTGCACATCATATCCAATTTTGTTATTGTTTTGCTCTCATGGTATATGTTATTTTTTAAATTGCTTTCTCTTCAGGCCAGCTATCTCTGGATGAGTTTATAGATGGGGCTCGCAAGGACAAGTGGGTGATGAAAATGCTCCAGATGGATGTCAGTCCTGGCAGCTGGATCAACGAGCAAAGAAGGAAGAGTGCTTTGTTTTAATGCTGAATGGCTCAAGCACTTCCAAGAGAGCCGAAGAATTCCATTGCTGATGGAACTTCTCAGTGAGGGATGGGCAGTTAAGGCTTTGAAAGCAGGCATTCACTGTGACGGAGACCAGTAGAGTGGATTCTGGATCAGAAATTGTTGCATATTTACGTTTTTCTGATTCACAACTGCTGCTAGGAGTTTTCAGATGCCTATGTTTTTCCACTGCACCGTGCAACATGGCAACATTGATGGGATACATCATTTCTATGAGTAGATACATCTCGATAATGTGGGCTGCTGAATTATCTCTGTATTGTCACCTCAAAACAATCCATCTATTGGCACGACTGCTTAGGTTGGGGCTCAGCCTCCCTAAAGAGTTTCTGCTATTCCTCTCTGTTGCGAGCAAATGCTTGCCAATTTGTACATTCAATGCTTGAATATCAAAACAATACTAATGTTTTTGCATGTAATATGTAAATGGATTTCACCTGTAAAGATTATTTTGTTCAATAACTGACAACATTTATAACAGAAGACAGTGCTTGAAAACTGTTTGTCAAACTATGCAGCTGAGTGGGGTTATTTAAGGGTTGGATGGAAAGTTAAAAGAGACATGACTAAAAAGACCACCCAACATTGTTAACATTTTGTGTGCATTCTCGTGGGTCTAGTCACCAACTAGCAACTGACAACACTGAGAAAAATAGCATATAGCTCTCCTCACTGTGGGTTTGCCCTTCCCCTCTTCTGTAATTGTAACCTATTCTGCTTGTGTTTATGCTGGGCAATGGTGCTACACCAAGCATGGTTTATTGTCAACTTATTTCTATGGAAAATCCAGGACGGGCATATGTGCAGGGCAATATAAATTATGGTGTGGGGATCTTCAGAAGTAGATGTCATTTAGAGAGTCATCTAGAGCTTTACTTTTTAAATTATTATACCTTAAGTATATATGTATGTTCATAATATTGTTAGCTAATATAAGCTTTGGAGATGCATTCATTTTAGAACAAATTTCTTGTTTTAGGGACTTTGTACCTGTGCGTGGAAGTCATCTAATACATCGACCCAAGAGTCAGCCATTTAATTCACCTCCAGACTTCCTGTGGCATTGTACACAAACAACATCATTTTCTGCTATGTCACTAAATGTAACAATTGGTATTAAAGTGACATTAAATTCAGGAGTTAAATCTTACAAATGCATTCAAGTACCTTAACTATTAACAATAATGTATCGTATTTGTGTATTACTCAGCTGCAGATCCTCAAATCATCTTTGAATTGGTGCTGACACTGTCCTTCCTTCTGGAGGGCGGCTATTTTTGTTCCCTATGTATGTTGTGCAGTAACCACTGCTCCAAGCTCACTCCTGTGATGGACTACAATCTCACATTTCGTTTACTAATTTGTATTGAGATTGTAGTCCATCACAGGATTGAGCTTCCAGAAGGAAGGACAGTGTCAGAATGAATTTAAAGATGATTTGAGGATCTACAGCTGAGTGATACACAAATAAGATACATTTTGCTAATATTTAAGGTACTTAATGGCATTTTTAAGATTTAACTCCTAGGTGTAGTGTCACTTTTAATGTGAGTAGATATAAAATGGACTCTTTCCTAAAATCGAGTGTTTATCAAATATCCCTTTGTGTTGGTAACCTATCTTTAGTTACCCCTTGACTTTGGTACATTTGTTAGCAGTACTTATAACTGATTTGGTACCCATAACTTTTTTGAAATAATTTCCAAGTAATCCTTTATGTTTTCAATGTCAAAAAAGTGCTGATTGATTTTATATTAATTGTTAATGATATGATTTAGTATTTGCTAGGCTGTTTGATGGTGTTACAGCACTACAGCAGAAAGAGTAACCTCATGGGGTAAACATACCACGGGCTGAGAGCCTCTGTATTAAGACACCGACATCAGGAAAAAGTCAATTTTTCCATTTGAAATTTTCGGCCAACAGCCATTTTATATTTTGCCATTTTAGTGAAGAGATAAATGTTTGCTGCAGGTCACAGCACTGTCATCTTCCTCCCTGGTGGGTTAGTAGAGCATAGTAATTCAGTTTTTTAAATCACTACTTTATGTGTAAATAGATGACAGGTCCAGATTACACTATTAGTTAAAGAATAACTTTACTACTACATATTATGCAAACTGTATTGCATACTGTACTCTGATCTCTTGTGCAGAAATAAAGAAAATGTCTAATCTCATTCATTTCTAAGGACTCTTTAAAAACATCAGAGCACACCATCAGTGTATTAACAATCATACAAAGTCTGCATATATATTTTATATTTGTTTTATGGGGTACAGAAGTCAGTAAATTGATTTTGGGAGCGAACAGAAATAACACTTTTGGGCCTTTGGTGCAGTGCTGCTTTTCCTCTCCCTGGATTTTTATCTGCAGTGCCCTGCTCAGGCAGTTCCTTTCCCTCACTGTATTTTGCATCACAGACCTTTATTTTTACAGCGGGTTTGAACCACATTTGGATCCGGCCCCTCTAAACTACACCTTCTAGTCCAGAAGTGGGCAACTCCGGCCCTCCAGCTGTTTTGGCACCACAAGTCCAATGAGGCATTGCAAGACTGACAGTTACAGGCATGACTCCCAGAGGCAGAATTATGTTGGGATTTGTAGTTAAAGCATAGCTGGAGGGCCAGAGTTACTCACCCCTGATCTAGCCCATATTTCATACATGACAGGTATCCTTTAAGTGATATTTTTTTAAGTGCCAAGTGCACTAACCAATAAAAATCCATTCTTTGTCAGTCTTCCTTGGCAGAGGAAATTCTGATTGGTTACTGTGGATTACCTGACAAACAAGTTATAATTTAAGAATAAGAAATCTTTAGAAAAAAAAGAACTAGGCCCTCTTCACACCTGGGCGTTTTTGAGCAGTAGAAAACGAGCTTCAAAATGCCCACAAGACACAAGAAATCCCATGATTGTCAATGGCCCCTGTTCACACCTGAGCAGCAAAACTTCAGCAGGAAAACGCCAAACGCAGAGAAAAGTACATGAGCTTCTTTTGGCACTTTGCAGCTTGTTTTTCCCCATAGACGTCAATAGAAGCACCAGGAAACGCGCAACAGAAGCATTTTGCACATGTACGTGTTTTCGTCCAATGACCGCAAAGTCTCTCAAGCTGCCAGTGATACTACGCATCTTTATATGTGCGCGTTTTGCGCAAAAATGATGACGCCTTGGTGTGAATGGGGCCTAAGGCTTCTAGTTTAAGTAAGAAAAGTATCTTTACTAATCAATACATTTCTAGTGTAGATAGCAATTTGATGTTTTACGTACATTAAGGTTTAATTGCTGTTGTGGTAAAATAGTTAATGACAGATGATGTTAATGTAGTCTGTAAATCTTTTGTGGTTTACACAGATTTTATTACATATAACTATACAGTATAATTCCTGGATTTCCACTCGCCCCCACGCAATTTTCACTCGCCAATTGCGAGGGGGCGAGTGGAAATTTTGAGCCCTGGTATAATGTATATGTATATTATCTCAGTATGCAGTCCTCAGTGTCAAAATATATCTCCAGTAATTTCAGATTTCTGAAAAAAACCTGGAGAGCTACTATACATTTATTATATCATTAGTTTATGGTGATAAAGCTGTCGACAAGATAATGGCCCCACCATTAATGACATGTGGAAAAAACTACCATCCACCAATCAGAGATATTACAATTATTTTACAATGTTTACCTTACAAGGTATAGTAGATAAATGCAAATTGGAAGATCAGCTTTCCTGGTGTCTGCAGTTGGTCGCAAGCAGTTTTCAGTAAGACCTGCTCACATAGGCATGCACATCCTATTGCATTAGGGTGTGCACACAAAAGTACAAACACACACGTGTTATATATATAAATATATATATTGTGCTCAAAAGTTTGCATACCCGGGCAGAAATCATGAAATTTGGGCATTGATATTGAAAATATTACTGATCATGCTAAAAAACTGTCTTTTATTTAAGGATAGTGATCATATGAAGCCATTTATTATCACATAGTTGTTTGGCTCCTTTTTAAATCATAATGATATCAGAATTCACCCAAATGGCCCTGATCAAAAGTTAACATACCCTGGAATGTTTGACCCAGTTACAGAGACACACAGGTTAAAATGGCAATTAAAGGTTAATTTCCCACAGTTCAGAAAAGAACTGTCAAAAGACCTGCATAACAAGTAGACATGTCCGATTCGTTTCGTTCCGAATCGAAATTCGGACGAATTTTCGTAAATTCGGACATTCGGATGTATCCGAATTCCGAATTACAGACATAACGAATGCAAACGAATCCGAATTTCCATTTCCGAAATTCGGTAGCGTTCGCACGAACTTTCGTTTCGTTTTCTGTTCGTATTCGTTTCTTATTCGTTTCGTTCGTTGGAGCAAAGTGACATTAGAGAAGGAGAAAAATATTTTTTCCCCCTCAAATGTCACTTTTGCTGCAAACGAACGAAACGAATAAGAAACGAATAAGAAACGAATAAGAACAGAAAACGAAACGAACGTTCGTACTAACGCTACCGAATTTCGTCCGAATCCGAATTCCGAATCCGAATTGACTTTCACACCCGAATCCCGAAAAACGAAATAACACAAATCCGAATTTAAAACGAAACGAAACAAAACGAATTTTTTGGCAGTGCACATGTCTAATAACAAGGTCATGGAACTTTATAAAGGTGGAAAAGTATATAAAAAGATATCCAAAGCCTTGAAAATGACAGTCAGTACTGCTCAATCGCTTAAAAAGAAGTATAAAATGCGGGGATCTCTTGATACCAAGCCAAGGTCAGTTAGACCAAGAAAGATTGCAGCCACAACTACCAGAAGAAATGTTTGGGATGCAAATAAAAACCCACAAGTAGCCTCAAAAGAAATACAGGCTGCTCTGGAAAAAGATGGTGTGGTTGTTTCAATGAGCACAATACAATGATACTTGAACAAAAATGAGCTGCATAGTCGAGTTGCCAGAAAGAAACCTTTACTGCGCAATAACAATATGCCTGACAACAACTTGACACGTCTCTCAGATTCTGGCACACTGTAATTTGGAGTGGCGAGACCAAAATAAAGCTTTATGGTCACAACCATAAATGCTATGTTTGGAGAGGGGTCAACAAGGCCTACAATGACAAGAATATCATCCCCACTGTAAAGCATGGTGGTAGCTCACTAATGTTTTGGGGAGGGGGGTGCGAGCTCTAAAGGCACCGGGAATCTTGTGAAAATTGGTGGCAAGATGAATGCAGCATGTTATCAGAAAATACTGGCAGACAATTTGCATTTTTCTTCATGAAAACTGCGCATTGGATGCTTTTAGACTTTCCAGCACGACAA